GGTTGTAGTCATTTCTTGGGCACAGCCAATTACCCAGAGGGAACAAGTCATTGAACCTGTGGGCTCAGGACCACAGTCTCAGGGGACATCAAGCTCAGTTGGCATAACATACGACACAAAACATTGTTCCACCTCCTACTTTGGCAAGTAGCAACTGGGATCTTAAAAGCTTGCAAGCAGCCATCTAGATGCAACGATGGCTCTCTTTTTGAGCAACAAAGAATTAAGAAAACCAAAGATGCACGGAAATATAGTCCAAGCGATTGGGTACACCATGTGATCTCAACCTGTAAGACTATGAGACCAGAAGAACTAGATAGTGCCCAGCTACCACTGTCAACCACTCGGAGGGGTATCTATGTAGGAGATCCTGGATAGAGAAGGAGAACAATGTGGAACAAAACTCAAAATCATTTGGAAAAAAAAGGGACCAGTTTTGCTGACCTGATAGAGCCTGGTGGAACCACTGAGACCATGGCCCCGAGCTGCCTGTCGGGTCTGGAATTGAACCCATGCCTGTGGATTCCAGCCAAAAAAAGATAGGCATATGAGTTGAACATTTACACTAGGTAGATACACTCCTTGGAGAGAACAATCATGTGAGAAAGAAGGGCTGTTCAGGAGACAGGAGTGCATGGAGGGATGGACACAGGGAAGAGGTAACTATGGAGAGAAAGTGGGAGGGGAGTTGTTACATTGTGGTAAATTGTAGTCAATATCATGAGACAAAGTGTAGGTGAACTGCTGAATGGAAAGTGAATTTGCTCTGTAAATTTTCACCCAAATCACAATAATAAAAAAAAAATTAACAGCAGGGAGGAACACCTCAGAAAAGGAGGGTGAGAATGGCTGCACAACTCAAAGAAGCAAGCAAGGTCATTGATTGATTACTATGTACTCAAATATACATGTAAATATACATATAACTCAAATATGGAGAAGTATACTGTAGACACACATGTACAAACTTGAATTGGTGTGTGATTTTGCTATGTATATTCTCAACAACATAAAATATTTTGATAAATAAAAAGCTAGTAACTATTATTTATACAACATTTACTATGTGCTAAGCCCTGTACCAAGCTTCTTCATGCATGAATTAACCAACTTAATACTTGTAATACTTGGAATTCAACATTGATATTTCCAAATAGTCATCAAATAATGTATGTTTATAATACATTCTTAAAATGTTTACATGTATGTGCATATGTGTGTGTGTGTGTGTGTGTGTGT